TGTGTTGAACCACTGCCTGGGCTACTTTGTACATGGGGTCCTCAAACAAGTGCTGAAAAGAGTCTTAGCACTGAATGTTTCTGTATACTAGTTTGCTTCTGTTGTACTGAATTCCTCAGTAATATAGATGTAACCAGTGAAGACTTGTGTTTGGGTCTAGGCTTGTATTTCCTTCTTAGTCTGTAGCTTGTACTTTGTTCTCGACCATAATACATCCAACAGCAGGCTTCATACAGCTCTGGTATTCCAGTGCTAGTCTCCAGACTGTTGGTGGAGCCTGCAGAAAACTTAGGAGACTTAGTCTGGGTCTAGAATTTGTGCTTACAGTGTCTATTTTTAAGTGGAGGCCACTAGGGAAAACATTTGCAGAAACTCAGTGATATTTTCATTGTCTGATGATTGCTTTAAGTTATATTTTGTTTTACTGAGCTTTCTCTAACACCAGTGCTGACAGCTAAGGTCAGTTTTTCTAGTGATTTTCTACCTCATGTCCTCTGTCCTTTGCATAAGATTTCCACTTGAGGGAGGTTGCTTGAGATTATATTTTGTTTGCTATGGTGTACTCTCTGGTTCCTCAGCTGAGTCTTGGGACCTGTGGTCCCAAGATTCATGTTAAAGTAGATCAAGGTATAAGACCAGCAGGCTGTAGTACTGCTGTCTTTAATCTTCTTATTCATCCCTTCATCTCTTATTGAGTGTTGTAATCTTTCACCTACAAACCTGACAAGAAATCCTGTGATGAAAAAGAGCATGCTAACATTTTGAAGCTCATAGTCTGACTTATTGTGCGTTTGCTCTTTGAATTTTCCAGGTAATGGTGTGAAGAGGAACAAAAAAGAAAAAACTCCTTTTAGGTTTAAGTGTATAAGTGGCTGAATGGACTTTTCTATCAACTATATAATGCAAGGTGTAAGGTTTACATTGAGAATATCTTCATTTGATGCTTTTTTGCTAATTGGAGGGGCAGCACATGATGAGGTCAACCTTGCCTTTCAGGACTAAGAAGAGCAGCAAAATCCTTCAAGTATGTAGGCTGTGATCAGAAGGTGTTACAGCAAAGCTATAATGGAGTGTGAAACAGCACGGGAGCAGAACGAAGCTTACCAGGATGTCAAAAAAAAAAGTATTATGAGAGGCCCTTATAGTGAAGATGGAAGGAGCTATAGTTACAGTCTTTGCTTTCTCTGTCCTTTAATATTATTTTAGAGAGGATGCTATCCCAGCTGGGAATTTATACTCCTACTGAAGTGGTGCATTCTTTAACTTACCTAATGCTCCAGGCAATTCTGTCAGCTTGACACTTGCTCTTGAAGTGTCTGTGCTGTTTAAAACAGCTCAGCAGAACTCCTTCCTGAATTGAAGAACTATCTCTTAATAAAGTCAGCCTAAAATGGAGTGAGTTAGCCTTCTGCATTCTTGCAGTTGAGTATCAACATTTTGAAGGAGTGAAAAAGCAGCCCATCTGGAAGCGTATATAGGGCAATGGTAAAGCTGTTAGAAGGAGAAACTGTAGAAAACAGAAGTTTGGAAGTGTCGTGGTTTAAACTCAGTCAGGTAATTCGTTCGCTCACTTCCCCCCCCTTTCTTGCCCTCCCCCTGCTCCCGGAGGGACGGAGAGGAGAATCAAAAAGAATGCAACTCCCACGGGTTGAGATAAGAACAGTTTAGTAACTAAGGTATAACACAAATCACTACTGCTACCACCAGTGATAATAATGATAAAGGAAATAACAAGGGAAGAGAATACATCATCTCACCACCAGCCGATATAACTCGCCCCCCCCAGCCCGACCAAGCTCTGATACCTCCTCCAACCCTGCAGTCTCCCAAACAGTTACATCCTGGGCATGATGTTTGGAATAGTCACTGGCAGAGCATGAGGCTCACAAAGTCCTTGGCCAAACCAAAATATGTTATCAGCTCTGTTGCTGAAAGCTGCACTGCACCAGCTACCAAGAAGGGGAAAAATGACTGCTACTGCTGAACCCAGGACAGGAAGTCACCCATTGATGGTGGCTGCATGAGTCAGGAAAAAATCCGTAGTGTATGTGTGGAGGGAGGCCTTTGCCAAAACCTGCTACTCCTCCCATTGACACCATTAGCTGCTTTTGTGTATGGCTCAGTTTTTGCCTACATGAACCATATAAATTTACTGATGGTCTTTGCAGGGTACATAGCCTGCATGATTCCCATAGCATGCCTGCACAGCATGGTGAGAGCTCTTGTTCTAAAGGCACAGCCTGATAAGCACAGAAGGATATGATGCTTTTGAAGCAATTCTGTCTGGTCTAGCTAGAAAGATTGCCCAATGAATTTGACCTATTTTTTAAATTTTAAAAATGGCTGTCAAATGGCTGCTTTTCTTTAGAAAATGGATAGAGATTGGGTTGCAGGCTAAATGTGATTAAGAAGCTTTTTATCATAACTAGGGTTTTAGAGATAGTTTGGGTTTTCAGCTGAATTTACTCAAATTGAGTGCACTGATGGGTAGAAAAGCACAATGTTTGAGTTGATTCCATTATAATTTTAAGAGAAAATGATTAATTTTTATTCCCTCTTCACTGCCCACCATTCATTATACACATTTATTGTATTGCACAAAATGGTCCTTTAATGTACTGGTAGTGGATAACATTTTTTAAAAGTGCTTATGGCTGAAACCATTTGGAAAATGAAATTTTGACTACATAATACATGAATGGATCTTGTGGTAGGTAGTTTATTTTTATGTAGTGGTTAGAATTCTGATAGAAATCTGTGGCAAATGCCCAACAGAAGCAAGTAAAGATAGTCTTCCTGACCTCAACACAAAAGGTTAGAGACATGGATAAAAATAAAAAGTAAAGAATTTATTGGATTGGATGCAAGTTTTCTTTTCAGGCACATACTTATTTGTTTTCTTCATTCCTCAAAGAGGTCAGCAAGATTTATGAAGGGAAATATCACAGAAAGTTTTACTGTTGTCATGCGAGAGAAAACAAATGGAGTTTATTTAGGGTGTTATGCTGAGGGTGTGAATATTCCATCTGATAAAAGGCAAGTTAGTAACATAAGTGTCAAATAAGAAGTGGATGTACTCTAATAATGGAATTGTTGAAGTAAGAATTTGGAATTGAAGATGCTTCCCTTGTACAGTAGTATTTTTGGTGCAGATATCCTGTTAAAAGGGCAACTTCATTTATTTCTTCTAAAGATATGAAGTTAGTACCATCTGTTTACATGTGTAGCTGATACATTTATTGTTTTTAGAGTGACAATTGTATTTGTCCTTCTCTCCCTGCATACAAACTAGAACTAATTCAATAACTGAGAATGAAAAAACTACGTACTCAAAAGTTGGGACTGAATGTAAAAATGCAAGGAAAAAGTGGCTAATACAGAGCAACTGTCTCATGAGAATTTTGTAGCTGGCTGTGACTGTAGTCCCGTTGATGTCAGAGGTTGCCTGATAAAGGTTTGTTCAGTGTAACTTTGGGAATAGTCTTATTACATACCTAAAAGTGGGTAAAGACCCAAAGGATTTAGTCATGTAGATCTTGACAAGTAACCATAAAAGCTTTCTGTCACATCACACACCATGTATTCTATACATGCTATGTGTGAAAACCTTTTTTAGAGATAGTCGTATACTGGGGCAAAATTATATAGCTCTGGGACCACTGTAAGAAAGCTAGGCTCCTTAGTCACCTTGAGCACAGGTATCAATAAATAAATGAACATCTTTTAAGCATTTCAGTGCAACATTTCCTCCCAAAAAAGATCACAGTTTTAAAGTACTGTATCTCAGACCTCTTTTGGGCTGGGAGCATGAACATTATGCCATTGGGAATCAATTAATTCATGTGTTCTCCCTCGTGGACCACAGAACAGTTGTGTGAAGCCTGAGAAACTCCCATGTGTCTTTTAAGGTGTGTGAGATTGTGTAAAAAACATTTTTTGACTCATTAAAAGTCAAACAGGAAAGGAGGTATCTGCTGATAGTCTTCATAATTTTTGTAATAAAATAATAAAGTATTATAAAAGCAGTAGGATCAGGAATTAGGAATAGGCTAATACTTCTTTAATGGTGGTTTAGAGATAAGACTGCATATAAAAAAAAACAAAACCGTATATCCAGTAGTCCCTTCAGAAATAGCTCCAGACAATAGAAAGCAGATTACTACAAACTCTGGCCTGATGTGTTTATGAGCACACTTTTCTACATTAGCATGTTGTCCATCTCTGTAGCCTGTCCCCACTCCCTTTCTGGACTGGGGGCTTTGGTGCAGTTGCATGACTTCATCTTCTTTCTGCACCTTCCTTTCTCCCAATGGCTCTTATTTAAGGTACATCAGGAATCTCAAGGTGCCTACACATATGCTTACAATGAGGAATACAGTGGGAATCCAAATGAAAAAGCCTAGGTACCAACAGGTATTGTATCTCTGCACAGGTTAATATGTCCTGCCTGGACATTTTGTTTTTTTGTGTCTCAATAAACGAAAGCCTCCCTTTGAAGGGAAGGGTTTCTTCTCCACTCTTTGCTTGCTGGTGCTATTTTGAGGTGTGAACTGTTGTGGCTGGTTAGCACAGTTTTTCCATGGCTATAAGTGTAGTAGAGAGGGGAAGAATGGGAAAGAGTTGATGTGGATTTTAGTGGTGATGTGAATATGGGGAATGTTAATAGGGCTATAGAGAGAAAGTCAAGCATGGAGGATCCAATGGTGGGTAGGTCACCTGCGTTGTTGGTGATTTGAAGGGCTTCAGAAAACTAGCAATTGTCAGTAAAAATTTGTGGATCTGGAAAAGTTGGGGTTTTTTGAGTTTTAGAGGAGATGGAGTGGTGTAAGAGCCTATACCTTGAGCCAGCTATGGTTATGAAAAATAGCGGCAAATATTTCTTTAAAAGTCAATCTTTCTAGACAGAGGGATAGAAACTTTTTGTTCAGTCTGTGTTTACAGGCTCTAATACTTTGTAGTTCTTCTTAAACACCGAATGAATGCACGAATTGCATGTTAGGAGTTCCCCCAGCTGACCCACTTGGTATATTCAGTGGGTCAGCTGAGGGAAATTGGACACAGCCTATTTAGCAGTAATTGGCTATATCTATCTCCCACAACTGCAAAATCTGGAAAGGGTTAATGAATGGCCTGATTAACTTCTTCATCTGTGCTCAGCAGGCAGAAATAACTGCTAAAAAAGAAAAACAACAGGAGTAAAACCTAAAGCTAAAGCAGTGTGTAGGTTAATTCCAGAAAGAGGAACATGAGGTTGAGGAGACTGCTGTGCAGGTGAGAGGCAACAAGAGAGAAAGGAACAGTTTTTTTTTTTCTCTGGGCATGCAAAACCTTTGCTTGGTTTTGACCTGCATGACCACTTGTGACCCTGTGGAAACTGACTGTAGATAGGTAATGCTTGCTTTTTGCTTGAAACGGGGGAAACCACATCATATTTGAGATCATATGTGACCTATTGGGGCTGGTGGACAGGGAGCTGAATATGAGGCAGAAATGATTAAAAGTGATTAAGCACCTCATGGGATGCTGTATAGCAAGTACCAGTAGCAGGCTGAGGAAAATGATTTTTCCTCTCTGGCACCTGAGACTGCATTTGCAGTAGTGCTTGCAGGCGTGTAATACAAGAAAGATATTGAACTGGAGCAAGTCTGGTGCAGGGCACCAAGCTGGTCAGAGGTCTGGAGATTTTGGCATATGGGAAAGTGGAGAAAACACTGGAAAAAGGGCACAGAGAATTTGTGCAGCCTCCAGTCTTGGAACTTTTAAAACTTGCCTTGACAAGACTGTGAGTGACTTGATCTCACTGGCCATTTGAAGTGAGGTGTTCTGCCAGGTGACCTCCAGAGGTTATATTCTGTGATACCATGCATCAGTGCAAATCCTAGCCTAGCATTGCATACACTGACAGTGAAATGAACTGTCCTGAGCTTACAGACATTTCATAAACAAATGAATTCCAGAGGATAATGGAGCTATTAATGATCAGCAGTGTCTCTTATGAAGAACTAACATTGTTTGCAAGGCAAACTAGGTTATACTCCTAGGTAAAACTGTAAAAATGGAAGCTGAAATGGAGGCAAGGAATGATATATTGTAGCTATTATATGTTTGGATTTCAGTGCAGCACTTGATACAATGTCTCCAAGTGACATTTGCTTCAGAAATTTAAATCAAGGTGGATATCTGATAAGAGAACTGAATACTTAAACCAAAAACTTCCTCAGAGATTGGCAATAAGGGTTGATTTCTCCATCGTGGGGCTTTATCAGATGCATAAACTCACAGAACTTCTCTGTTAGAATAAGAAGAGATGATGTAATGGTTACAATAATAATTACTGTGATGAAACCTGGCCCTGAAGCAGACTTGGCCTTTTTCCCTTTCAGTCACTGGTGTATATGTTTTGTGTGTGTTCCTTGTGTCTTAATGTTTTCTATAAGTTATCTTCACTAATTATCTTAGAGTGGGTGTAAGTATATACTAATGACATTAACAGATAATATCAAATTTAAGTGAATTGCATGCATCACTAACAGTGGGAGGAGAAGGACAGAGTGAGTTAATAAAGACATAAATTAACAATATGATACTCCACTTGTATAAAGTAAGTGAAGATTTGAGAAAATAGAATCCAAAGCTTAGGTAATCATAAGGGAGGTAAAATATGAGGGGCTGAAAGTGTTTCTGGCCTTAACAGAAGGGAAATAGGTTTTTGCTGTGTGTTGGAGGTTTTGCTCTTAGACTACAAATGTGTGCTTATGCACAGATGAAGAGACAGCAGAAGGTTATGCTTGTTCTGCACAACATAACTTCAATGTGAACACTTCTGTATCTGGACAGCACATGGTGTGGTTTTTGAGGTCCTGACCTCTTACTGATTTTTTCTTTAACAAGTGTTCTTGCATTCTTAGGTTTACATTTCTTCTTTAAGTTCTTTCCTACATATTGGTAATTCTCTAACACTGAGCAGAACCTCCTATGTCTGTTACAGATGGACAGTCATGATACAGACTAAAATTGGATTTGAGAAAGGCAGGTGAGACTTTAATTGGGAATGTCCAAGCATGCAAGTTAAAAGTCAGTGTAAGAAGTGCTATGGAAAACCCAATAGACCTTTTTTACTTGGAGACTTTGATTAGGAGGCTGATATATTGGTTTTGCTGAACTATTAAGCTAGAGTGGCAAGTTGAGGGGGAGAGAAAGTGATTACTGCTTTGTGTAGAGTTGTCCAATGTAGTCTCACATGCCACCTAAATAGTCAGTGTCTTAAACTAATTAAATGAAAGTTCTTACTTGTTTTAATGAGACACAGGTAGCTGCTATTTGTGAAAAAGCTCTTTTTTCTTCACTGTGGTTTTGTGGGTAGGGTGTTTTCTGTGCCTACTGACTGTGGACAGATGTTAAATTCCCAGACTGTCTTCGAGTGCACCACGCAGGTCAGAGAAGAGACCTTGTAAAGGACTGCCTTAGCTATAAGGTAAGTACAGGTGTGAAAAAAATGAAGATAAAATTTTCTGTATTCCTCTCAAAAGTACCCTTTAAAGTTCATGGAGGTTGTGATTCATGCTTCTGCACTTCTCTGCCCAAATAACTGGGAGACTGAAGATATCTTCTGTGGTACTATTTATCCTGAAGACTTGGGGAGATAGGTAAGGGATAGTAAGTGGGTATAATGTGCCCTTGATTGCTGTCACCTTCTGTCTTTCTTAAGCAAATTTGTTCTGTGCATTATGTGGCAAATTCTCTTTGGAGTTGTCAGGGATGTCCAGTGAAAACGTCTGCTTTGGTAGTTAAGGTGGTAAGTCACAACTTGTAGAGAAACAAGTGTCAGCAATTACCGGAATTGTTTTCTTAATAAAAATGACCTGTGGGTATCTGCCTTGGAGATTGTTTTCTTCCTTCCTCTCCCCTTCCTCTCTCTTTCCCCTTCTGTGGACATTTTTGGCCCTGGCTCTCTGAGAACTTAAAAGAGGATTTATTTTCTCTCTCCCTTACAAACTCTCTGCATGTTGCTCTGCAGCTTCGATGAAGTACTAGCATTATTTTGCAGTAAGAAGTGCAAATGCTCTAGGGGAGATGAAAAAAAGAAGCCATGAAGGTAAAAGGTGTAAGTTTCCCTTGTCCGATTACTGAGGTTAAGAATGGCGAGCGTTAATTGTGCTGCATTATTGAACTATGCTCCTGAACTATGAAGAGGTTAGTGAGCTCCGTAGTGTTTCTCCTCAGAGGGCTCTTCAGTGCTTGAGAATCTTTGCTCTCAGCCTCTTCAGCATTTAGGATGATTAAACTTTCTTTGTACCTCTTGAAGAGGAAAAGATGAAGTGTAGTTCAGAGCAACAAAAGAGCTTTTCTTTTTAGGAGGCTAATTATGTGGATATCAGCCTGACACAATACCATTCAGTCTGTACTTGTTTAGCCACTACTAAGATAATATCTAGGCCCTCCTAATTTGTAATTTATCTCCGTAAGCCTTAGGGACACAGCAGAATTACTCAGAAAAGTCACATGAAATTTCTTGTGAGGCATAGTCTCCAAAGATGAGGCTTAGTTCCTAATTTCCTATGTTGTGACAGAGAACGTCTACTTACCAGTTGTCAGTCTGTGCTGTCTCCTGTCACCTGCATGCATTTTCTTCTCCGTTATGCTTTCTATATGGCATAAAATTTGTCAAATAAATTCACAAACCAGATTTTTGATGTTTTGAACAGTTTGAATATGACCTGATTTTGTGTCTTAAGCTCATAAAGCTCATTAAAACTGCTATGACTAGTCCTACTGATTACAGTAGACCACTTGGGACGGCTCGGATATTTAACTAATAAACTTTCTGCTATTACATGGTACCGGACTAGAGACACTAACGGCGCCTTTCTCTTGATCTCTTGCCATGGTTCATAATATTTCTAGCTTTGATCTACTGAGAGCAAGTTCTCCTTGGGAAATGAAATGTTCATGGTCATTGGGATGCTTGGATGCAAGGGGAATGCACGCCTTGTATTCCCTTTGGTGCTGCAGAGGGAAATTTGGTAAATAAACTCATTAGTCCTGGCTGTACATTTTGCTTGCGTAAGCGAGTCTGTAGGTGACAATGGAGCTTAATTTCAGCCTATACTACTATTTTATAATCAGCCTGTGGACTAGGATAAGGCTTGCTAACAAGAAAAGCAATTAACTTTATAGATGAATATCTTTTTCCAAATTAGAATTACATCATTACAGTTATAGAGCTGTAAACAGCACTGCAATCTGTGTTCATCTGTACAATCCAAATGTAATGATGTGGCTGAAAGGAATACTTCAGAGTGAAAGAACAAATATTTAAGACCTGTCTGAACAAGATTGCTTTATTTCTGGGTGTTTTGGCAGGGCTGTTCCAAGATTTTGCTAGGAAAATTAACCAGACTGTTTTTAGAAACCACTTCAGAATGTACTTCGCAGCAGACTGCATATGCAATAGCATTAATTGCTACTGCTGAGCAGCGGCTTACAAATGAATAAAAATCCCTGTGTCAGTGCGACACTAATAAACCCTTCTTACTTAAAAAAAATAAATAAAATCGACTGAACTGTTAGATTGTTGCTATATGAATAACCTCCCTGCTTTCCCTCTGAGCTTTTAAACATGTTTGGGGGGTGGTTGGTTTCACCCTGTCTAGGAAAACAGCTATGCTGCAGAGGCTTACATGTTTGCAAGGGCTTACCAACCAAATAGGACTGTGCTTATTTACAGAGAAAGGCAGAACTATTTTACACACTTTTGATGTGTGGATATAGTAGAATTTCAAAGAAATGGTGAAAAGACTGAAATCTGAAGTAACGAATGTAAGCTAATTGGTTGAGCTGGAAATCTGGATAATGCCAGAATTCAGAGTGTAAATCACATGGTCTTAAACTTGTGTGAATCCAGCAAGCTAAGTGAAATTCTCAGTTCAGCTTGGAGAACTGTGTTTGTCCAAATGGTGAGAGCCTTTGTCTTTGGGACTCCTGCCCGCTGCCTCATTCATTGGCATCCTCTGCTCATGTAAATTGTACTGACAGATATGGCTGGCTGAGAGACCGACTCTTCTGCTAGGCTTCTCTTGTGGGTCCATTGAGCTGGAGCTAGTACAGAGCACTCACTGTTTTTTTATTTTTATTTTTATTGTTTATAAAGACATAAACTTAGATGGAAATCAGGAGTGTTACCAAAACTGCCATTATGAAAATCCTTGGCTAAGCTGTGCCCAACCATGGAAGTGAGAGCTTTAAGAAGAGATGCTAAGGATGTGTATCTTACAAAAAGACTTGCTGCTCGTACCAGTCCTTGATTCTGCTCTGGATCTACACATTCAGGAGCTAAGCAAAGCAAAATCAGGCTTTCAGACATCAAATTTTTCCTGGACCTGGGCCACACCAATTTCTTTTAAAAACATACTGCTTGAGATATTGTAGCCAAAATTTCACACTTGCATTAAAACATAAAAGATATTTCTCCCTCCAGACAACAGTATATGGATTCTTAATATGTGTGTATTAATAAAAAGTTCTGTTCATTTGTAATTAAGAGCAGAGATTTTAAAGATCTACTTTACTGTATCCTAAACACCTACTGAAAATACTTTGTAGTTTGATTTTCTTTATAATTATACCATTTTCAAAAGTAACAACTGAATTACTTGATTTTATACTAATTAAAGCCTAAGGCCTTTTTATTGCAAATTCAAATAGAATAGTACAATAACTAGTACTTTATTTGCTATATAACTTAAAATTATGTAAATTACACAGCTACTAAACTACTCTAAGTGGTGTGTATATGGCTAAATTATTTTTAACAGAAGAGTAGTTCATTTTATATAAGGGTATTTGAGATGCATAATCTGAAATATCACTAAACCTTAGGAGCTGCTCTACATTGGAAACTTTTAAATTTGAGTATGAAAGGTAAATTGTTTCCAATAGACAAATCTTCTGGTATAGCTCAAGTCAGACAATCTCAGAGCTATCCTGCCAATCTGCACTGTGGTCTGAAGTGGAGCAGGTTGGAGGAAGTCACAGGAACTGTCCGTAGCCCACCGAGTTCACGTTGCCAGGGCACCTCCATGACTGTACATTGCTGCCATGCAGATGTGCAAGGGTTCTTACTTTTATTCTGCTCTGGTCTTTTCTCTTGCAGACTAACTGTGCAGCAGGATGGCAAAATTGGGTCTCCCAGTCTGGCACAGGGGACTTCCCAGAGTAACGGTGATTCTTCACTGATCAGCTTTGAACAGTTTCCATCTATTTTGTGCTCCTATAGTTCAGTTCTGCTCTGTACCCAAATGTGCTGGACACAGCAGTAGCTGGTTACTATATGTGCAGCATGGCAGGACTTGAAACTGCAGGATACTCTAAAACAGCAATTTTTTGACAAAAAGAAAGGTTTAAGTTATGGTTTTGTCATGTTGAGAAATAAGTGAAAACCAAGCCTTTTACAGAACGTTTCCTAGCAAGCAAAACCTATACAACTGGACAGTTGGGATAGAGAGAGGGTGAATGGGTAGGAGACTTAGGGTTTGGGGAAGAACTGTGAGGGTTTTTTTTTTTTTGCACTGATTGAAAATTCTATTCTGGCTTCCTCAAAGTCTAGATGGGATAGAAAAGAAACAACATGTTTGATAGAAGAAAAGTGCTGTTGCAGGGTTTTTGGCTAGAATTCAATTTGCCTAAGATCACTGTAAATTCTGTGGGATATAGTCCCAAGACTGTCTTTCCCAGATATATTAAGTCTGGATTAAGGGTACCTACTAAGGACCAAAACTGCAGAGCTACATAATGAAAAGCACTTAACGTTGTTAACTTGCTCTGCCAATTCAACTATTCAAAAATTTTAATGGGCTAAGTCCATAATATGTACCAGCACTTCTGGATTAGATATTGTCTGTGTGCATCAGTTGAACTTCACTGAGTCTGCATTTTCAGCTCCTGGAGTAAAGGAAACATATAGTCCAACTTGCTCAACAAGAAAGCAACTGCCTGTCTTTGACTGATCATGCTCTGCATCAAATGTATATCACCATACCAGTGCATGGGTTAATGCTTCTGGAGCTTTGTGGTTTTAAACAGAATATGCTAGCCAGGAGATATACCTCAAAATCCTCACAGTCCTGGGTCTGAGATGTGAGAACTTGTCCCATAATACTCTTTCTATGCACTTACAATAACTTAACTCCTTGTGTCAACAGCCACATTTGCCAGAAAAAACATACCGCTGAGTTTCTGATTACTTAACTATTTTGCTAAGTGATAGGAAAAATGTGTTTCATTTATTCTGTGGGAAAAGGAAAAGGTCGAGTCAGCTTAAAAGTTATAAGTAAATACAGAGGATGAAAAAGAGATAATTGTCTTTAACACATGATTTGTCATTCAGTTTAAGATATAAGGCAAATCTTTGACTTTAACAACTTCTTCCATATCTTCTATTCCTACTCTTCATATATTTTCACAATAAAATGATTTTATTTGTATAAATGGTATAACAGATCTTTTCAGTAATTTTTCTGGTGATGAATTAGTGATTCAGCTGTGAAGTTCATGTATACAGTTTGGAACAATAAGGGAAAAATAGGAGTATATTGGGGGTTTAACTGTTCACTTTTCCTTTGTTCACATGATGTGTAAGAAATAACTGAATTTGGTCTGCAATTTTTTATCTGCAGTGTTTATGTGCTGCAGAACAGTTGGAGATACAACAGCCTTACTCTTTTCATAGATCTGAATAGCTTGTTTTGGCATCTTCTGTCTGATACAATTCTATCTGCATTTTTATCTGTTTTCCTATTTGTCTGTAAGTGTCAAAACAAAATATATGTGCTTGAAAGCTGTTTTCTGTGAAATGACATGGTAGTTGTATGAATTTTTTTATCAATGTAGTGACTAGGATTGTTCAATTACTTTAAAATTCTGTTGACATTTTTACCATAGACCTCACTTTTCAGGCACTTTAAACAGAAAAGATTTTCAATAACACTGGGACCTGTACTTCATTTATAAATAATCATGAACACTTTTCTTTAAACTTGTGAACATGTGTCAGCTTTTAAGATCTAAATCTGTTTTTTCAGTTTTATTTCTAAATGCTTTCAGTTGTATCTTAACTGTTAATATTCAGTTAACTTTAGTCTTAAAGACTTTGGATAGTTGAGAGTTTGTTGCAATTTCCTTCTGTTCTATGTAAACATGTTAGCTATGTTATTTCTAATTTCTCTGTAAGGAATTTGCTCTTAAAAATAGCCAGAACAAGTGACAGATGTTTAGGGAGTGATAGGACGAAAATTTCAAGTACTGCTCTCTTTTTAAGTTTTCTGAAGGGAAATTTTGCTGAGATTTGGTGCACACAGCTTGAGAAACAAAAGCATGTGGGTTGTGGCAGGATTGCTTCTGTAAGGTTGCTAGTAGAAGTAGTGAGCAATATCAGTCCCAAGACTGAGCCTGAGAAAAGCCCATAACTAATCCCCTTCCAGCCCTTTACTTCTGCTTTTTAGCACAATTCCTTTTAGTTAAGTCCCTGCTCTGCCACACTAATCCCTCATACCGATCTCATGTGGCACTATATCAGATGTTTTTCTGAAGTACAGATAGGTTGAATATACAATTTTTTCTCCTCCAAAAAATCAGTGCCAGTCAAAGACATTATACTAAAGCTGACACCTCACTCTTGATTGTCTCCTTGACATTTTTTCTGATGTTTTGTCACATAAGGCCAACTCTAAGCCTTCAGTTCCTTTCTTGTTTTGCTTGAGCTGTTTTCCAATGGTAGAGTTCCCCTGAGCAATGGAAGAGTATTTTAACCATATTTTCCCATTGCTGAGTCTCTATTGTGCTGATTAAGGCTATCTTACATAGCAACAAAAGCCCCTGAACCCATCCTATACCCTTACACGATGGCAGTGCTGACCATTTTATTACAAAACCCAGTTTGACCTGATGGGATAGATAAGAGGCTGCCCAAAGAAAACTATCCTGGTTGTTCTTCCTTTTAATGTTTCTGGAATTTTGGAGGATAATGATCCCAAATACATCCACCTACAATCTTGGAAAGTCCTAATATTTTATGTGTGCAGGAAGGAGTCTAAAAAGTTTTAGTATTTTTACCTGTGAAACCTACCTTATGCTTGTGCGAGATTAAATTTATGGTTAAGTTGCTATGGCCATGACGAATGGAGTCTTTGGGGAAAGACTTATTGTCACATCTCTCCTTTGTGGTCATCTGTATTGTGTTGTAGTATTTCAGGATGGTAAAGAGCTCTTTCTGCTGGTGAAGAACTTTGCTTGTCTCAATAATTTTTAATCATCACTGGTGTTGAAAAGATGTGAGGGGCAGCAGCTGAAATGGGTCTCATGTTCTTTTTGTTAAATGTGAGATAAAGTATGCCGCTTGGGTAATAGTTGAAAGCTGTATAACACTGCCTTGCATTCTGTTGAATCTAATGATTTTCTGGCAAGTGTCTTGTCTGAGAGTGTTGTGCTGAAGTTAATTCATTTTGTACCAAAAGTAGTAAACAACTTAGTTTTGTGACAGAGGTGTCTGAAGAAAACTTTTGGGCTTGCTCTTGCACGCTTGCTGAGAGGAGTCCCGAGTATTTACTAGGCTTGGTTTAGCAAGGGACATAGGAACCTTCATCCTTCTCTCTTCTGCTTGCACAGTGGAGAGGAGGCAATGGAAAGCATGCAGTCCCTTTAGAGCCTAGGTAATAGTTAATTACAAACTGCTTGGAAGACAAGTTGACAGGCTGTTTGTCCTTCCCCATTGGCCAGCAGACTGAGCTGGATGCGAGTGCAATTGCATGCGCTGTAATCTCTCCAGTGTAAGCCTTCTGTAGGTGCACTGCAAAGCTTTTACTCTTCGAGGCATACTGGCTTCATGGAAGTTGTATAGTTGAGTGCTTCTCCCCATGGGGAGGCTACAAGCTGTAATAGTTGCTTGTAGTATGAGCTGGTTTTTTTTTTTTTATAAACTTGGCATGATTACCCTTTAGCTGTTGCTAAACCCCTTTAGCGGGTTTCTTTTTCTGTGTGCAGTTTGTGTGTAGTACTGGTGAGAAAAGGAGGATGGGTCAAAGTGCTGTTAGTTCACTTGGGATGGGGAGTAGATGTGAATTAGACTTTTGCCCTGAGGTGCCAGGTCTTCTAATTCTCTTGATGGTGCAAAAATGCAATTACCTCAAACAGCTTGGGATGATGCCAGTGGCACGTGCTTCCTGGTAAACAGCATTATTGGAACAGCATTTGTGCTGTCGTTTTAAATACCAGCATAGTCTTGGGCAGC